CATTGAGACGCCAATGACAAGCTTTCGGTAAAGAATCAGGGAAGAAAATATTCAGAGACAAAGAGGCATGATCGGACCATGTACTGGGATTGATTTCGGACGAAACCAAGAGAGGGAGTAAGGGGGCAGAGATGAAAAAGTGGTCCAAGCGGGAGAAACTCCGATGAGGGATGGGAGTAGAAAGTATACTGTTTATGAAGGGGATGTTTGATCCGCCAAGCATCAAAGAGACGATGTTCCCTTATCAATTTGCGAAAAGATTTTGAAGAGGAACACTGCCGCTTCGAGGGGGTGGATTCAAATAGTACTTTCCTATCCTTGTGGGGGGACATGATTAAATTAAAATCACCTCCAATGATCATATGTGGTGTGGTAAAGGCATTCAGTCTAGCAAGGGTTTGGGAGAGGAAATGTAATTGACCTGCGTTCGGGGCATACAAGTTTAACAGGATAAGGGGGGAACCAGCAAACATACATTCCAAAATGATATAACGACCCCATGGGTCGACCTTGGAGGAAATGACCCGAAGGGAGCAGTGTGTCCGAATCAAAATAGCCACTCCGGCTTTCCCAGTGGGATCAAAAGCCGAGTAGGAGTGGGAGAAAAACCTTGAGGTAAAACGAAAAGAGCCAGTCGACTTGAAATGGGTCTCCTGGACAAAAATAATGTCTGCTCCTGAGGATCGAAATTCCTTCAAAGCCATCCACCATTTTTGGATGGAGTTAAGACCTTTGACATTGTACGATAATAACCGTAAAGCCATCATTAGATAAACATACAAATAGCAAATGTACCCAGATAAAGAATAATGGAGATATCATCGATGAGGCAAATCTAAGAACAGTAGGGACATGAAACATTAGAACTAATAACATTAATAGACAAACCAAAAAAATTACAACAAAGAACATGGATATCCGTATGGATATGAACTTGGGAAAGACATTGGCACCCAAGTCGTCCAGGCAAATGTCTGGACATGATCGGGGGCAACATGACAATCGGAACATACAAATCGGCAGACCCGGCCAAAAAGATACAGCATAAGAAGGCACCCAGCGCAAAAATAAAATGAAAAGAGGGAGGAAGAAGGGAGGGTGAGGAAAAGAAGGGAGAGGGGGAAAAGGGGGGGAAAGGGAAGAGGAGAAGAAGAAGGGGGGGGAAGAAAAGGGGGGGGGGATGGAAAGGGGAGAGGGGAGGAGATATGGATACAACCTTGAAGAACACCTCAAGAAAACGTCAAGCAGGATCATCACTACAACGAGCAGGGCGAGGGTGTTGTGGAGTACGGGAAGGACGCTTCCGGCCCCTACGAACTGGTGTCCAGATCTTGCTGGGGGTAGCAGAAGGACGAGATGGAGTAGATGGTAGTGAGGCATTGTCGTCCAGCAGGGGGGGTAGTCCCAGTTGCTTCAGGAAGGAGTCCGCTTCAAAAAGATCACGCAGAATTACTTGGGCGTTATCTTTGGAGACGACCAGCTTGAAGGGAAAACCCCAGCGGTAAGGGATACGATGGTGTTGAAGATGCGTGGTGACTGGTTTCAGCGCTCGCCGTTTAGCCAGGGTAATAGGAGAAAGATCACAAAAGAGCTGAAGCCGGTCCCCTTTAAATTCCAGGAAGGGAACGTTGCGTACAGAGGCCAACAAGGCTTCCTTGCTCTCAAAAAAATGGAAGCGGACGATGACATCACATGGTCTGGTGCCGTCAGCAGGTCTGGGACCTAAAGAACGATGAGCCCTGCCCATGCGCCACTCCGCTTCTGGGACCAAGGGTGCGGTTGTGGTGAAGAAAGACAGGAGGTGTCGGCGAAGTTGGGAATCGGCAATGGATTCAGATATACCTCGAATACTGACGTTTTGCCGGCGTTCCCTGTTTTCCAAATCTTCTTGCTGGAGCTGAATTTGGGACATGGTGTGTTTCAGGTACGCATTGTCTTCTTCCAAGACATGAACGTATTGCACCAATTCATCCAATTTATTCTCCAGTTGATCTGCACGCTCCCCAATCTGCGCTATTTCTCCACGAAGATCCAAGGCCAATTTGCCCACTTCAGGGGTGATAGTGGCGGTAATATTGCGCAAAAATATCTGCAATTTTTCTTCTAGCGTAGATATCGTGAGGGCAGGTGACACACGGAGATATGTGAGAGCGGATGAGGAAAGGCTCATCAAAGGATGCTCTGCTGTCCCCTCTATAGGGATCTGGGATTCGGATTCATCTATATGGTGGTGCTGAGGGAGTGAGGAGATTAGCTGCATTGTGGAGGCAGCAGGTGTAGTACCCCCTGCCGCCACTGGGGGCCCGTCAGAGCTCATCCCTGGGAGTGAGGAGGTTGGCTGCATTGTGGAGGCATTGTGGAGGAAGCTGGAGGCAGCTGGTGTAGTACCTCCGACCGCCACTGGGGGCCCGTCGGAGCTCGTCTGTAGGATCCCTGTTGAAATTGAGGCCGAGGATTACGGCCTGTGACGAAACCCGCTGCAGCAGTGACGGCCGCGGCTCACGTGGCGGAGGGGAGGGGGGCTTCCAGCACCCTATCTTCCCCATTATAGAATTAAGGTCTGGCGCGCTGGGTGCCCTGCTACTGTGACTCACCCAGGGACGAATATGGAGCAGCGGTGCGCCGTGGGTGAGTCTCTTAGGTCGGGGGATGTACGGAGCTCACAGTAATGCGGCCATCAATGTTCCCAGCCGCGCATGCGCCCCTCACCTACATAAAATTTTAATCCATTGCATCATTTTAGGTCCTATTCCCAAAATTTCCAATGTGTCGAACATAAATCCTCAATCTACCCTATCAAAGGCTTTCTCAGCATCAATTGATAGAACAATCGCCAGGTGATTTTCTTTCTTACTTTTTTGTAGAAGCAATAATGATCTCAATCCATTATCCCTTCCCTCTCTCCACTGGATAAACCCCACCTGATCTAGATGAATCCATTCCGGCATCAACTCTTTCATCCTAATTGCTAAAACCTTTGCATATAATTTTGTATCTATGTTTAATAGCGATATGGGACTATAACTTCACATTGGGACAGATCTTTCTCTTCTTTCGGTAAAATTGTAATATATGCTTGCAATGACTCCGCTCTCATTTCCATCCCCTGTCCTAAAGCAATAATGTACAGTATATACACATCTTAGGCACAAGTTGTTCTTTAAATTTCCTGTAATATCTCAACGTATATCCATCTGGTCCAGGGCTCCTTCCTGCAGCTGTACTGTTGAGTGTAGTATAAATTTCCTCCTGCAATATAGATTTATCTAATACTTCTAATCTCCATTCCTCTAATCTAAGTAGTCCAGCCTCTTTTAAGTACGCCTGTCATTTTTTCTTTCTTTCTTCCTCTATTTCTTTCGGGTTTTTAGATTTTATCTCATGTAGGTTACTATAATATTTTTGAAACGTTTTAGTGATATCAGTGGTTGGATGTACCATTTCTCCATTCGTATCTTTGATTTTCTGCACATAATTTCTTGATTTCTTTTCCTCAATCTTTTCACTAAATATTTTTTTGGTCTATTCCCCCCACTGCCCCACTGATATCTCTCTTTTGCAACCATGTTTTTTTTTCATGTTAAAAACTCTTCTCGTTTCCTATTCCATCAAATCTTTTAACTCTTGTCTTTTTTGAGTTATCTTCTGTTGTATCTCTATTTATGTTTTCTTCTTATGTAGTTGTTCTAAATAATATAGTTTCTCAATTAATAAACCTTTTGTCTTTCCTCGTTTTTTTTTTTTTCAGCCCCCATTAAGATCATGATTCCCCTAATGTAAATCTTGTGTGCTTCCCAAATAGTAGCAACAGAGACCTCTTCTGTCTCATTGAGTGTAAAATATTCCTCAAATTCCCTCTTTATTTTTTTCTCCATCTCAACATCCTGTATGAGCGTCTCATTTAATCTCCACTCTATTCTCCTTCCAAACTTAATCTTGTTATAACAGGTGCGTGATCTGATAAGAGACATTACCTCAGTTTTGGACTTTACCAAAGACTCTAAAATTCTATATTCTATCATTATGTAGTCCAATCTTGAGTACATCCTGTGCGCCTTGGAGAAAGAGGTATATCTCTTGGATGTTTAATTCTGCACGAGTCCATCAATTGACACTGGTGTAATATTTTCTTAACCAACTTCAGATATTTACCTCCGTCTCTCTGTGCACGCGATGAAGTATCCATCGAAGGATCCATAAAAAAATTAAAATCTCCTGCTGAAATCAAGTAACCTTTCTTAAAGTTTTCTTAACAAACTCTCTAAGTATGTCATTGAGTTCTTATTAGGGCAATAAATATTTGCTAATGTGCATTGTATTCCTTGTAATTTTCCTTTCAAAAATAAATAACGACCTTCTGGATCAGCTAATCTATCTTCCATAGTAAATCTTACATTTTTTGCCAACCCAGTTGCAACCCCTTTTGCATGTTTAATTGGTGAATCCGCATAATACCACATTGGGTAGTGTTTGGAATATAATTTGACATTTGTATCCTGTGATAAATATGTCTCTTGCAATAACACTACATCAATGGAATATTGATGGATTTCCCTAAGAATTTTATGCCTTTTAGTCGGGGTATTTAGACCTTTCACATTATATGTCATAACATTACTCATAATCATTCTTACTACTGACTTTCTCCTCCCTCTAAATACCAACTAAAAGAAGCACAGGTGTATATAATTTGGAACAGGAAAATATGACCTTTGTCCCCCGCCCCCCAAATCCTCCTGCCCAACTTCCACCCACCCCCACCCTTCCCCCATCCCTATTTTTAACCCCCTTTGGCCCATATCCAAGCCTTGGAATCTGAAGTGGAATATTTCCACAGTCGACTCCTCTTTGGGGTTCTTCTCACAACACATATCCCTAAACAGAACACTATTCTCAAACCTCCTGTCAGGGATCTGGGTATGACCAGAGATATGTGGACCGACACAGGGAAACGCAGACTTCAGGTATAGTATAAAACAATACAATTTATTAAAGGCTAAACAATACATAAACGCAGTGCAAGGCTAAACATAAACACAGTGCAAACAAAACCAAACCTCCAACAGATAACAATATGTACAACACCAAACGTAGTTGGGCAGGCCGGGTCGGTAGCTAATGGGCAGACAAGGTACAAGGAGCAGGCAGGAGAGTGGTCAGGAGTAGCCGAGGTCGGTACAGGCAGAGTTCATGCGGAGTCAGGATCAAAGCAGAGAGTCAGTCAGGCAGGCAGGATATAGGATCAGGATACAGGGCACAAGGGAGCAATATACTAAGGCACTGACTGCAGGCCTGGTCCTGCTTAAATACACCTCCTGCAATCAGCCTCAGGTGATGGCCTGATTGCAGTAGTGAGACACTGGCTGCTGAGAGCACCCGCTGGCCAGCACTGGTACTGTAGCCCACAAGGCAGGTAAGCCCCAGCACTACCAGAGATAAGACCATTTCTGACACCTCCAATCATATATATACTTGATATATTGAGCCTCCAGATATCCTGTTTTTAGTTTAAGAATAAAATAGAGAAGGAGGATGAGAAGAGGAGAGAGAGGAGAAACAACAAAACAAAAAACAAAACAAAAAGGGATATATAATATATATATATATATATATATATATATATATATATACACTGTGTGTGTGTATGTATGTATGTATGCATATATATATATATATATATATATATATATATATATATATACTTTTCCTAAAAAGAGGGGAAAAGGGAAGATGGAAGGAGAGGCTATTTGGGGACTGATGTCCACTTATATCTTCCTAAATCTACAATCTCCTTAAACCCCTTCAGACCATCCTGGAATATCAATTCTCTGAATATCAAGTCTTTCACAGAAAGCATTTAAGTCCTCTGGGAATCTCAGTCTAGACAATTTTTGGTCTTTCCACCCGATCAGACATGCTGGAAAGCCCCAACTGCATCTGACATTTTTTTTTGCGCAACAATTCTAATAATGGCTTCAAAGGTCTTCTTATTGACAATGTCTCTGGCGCTATATCAGAAAAAATTTGCAGGCTCACTTCTCCATGTTTTACTGCTGGGATTCCCTGTAACTTCTTCCAGCTATTTGCTTTGTCTTCATAAGGATGAAATCGCACATTTACATCTCTAGGAGCATCTGATGCCACACCTTATAGAAGTTGCTTAATCCTATGTGCGCTGTCTATTATTAGATGATCTGTCAGTGGTTTACTTATTACTGGGTTGAGTATTTTTCTCACTTCCTCCCATAGATCTTTTCCTGATGTTACTTCTGGCAAACCTCTGATCCTCAAATTGTTCCTTCTATCTCTGTTCTTCCGATCTTCTAATTTATATGCTATCTTCCTTTTTTCTCTTCGCATTTCCTCCATCTGTGCTTCTAACTTAATAATTACTTGTGCGTGCTTCTCTAGTTTTCATTCTGTTTCTTCAACTCGTGATAAGACTTGTCCCAGATTATTGTGTAATATAGCCATTTCGTTTTTTATAGAATACTCAAGTTTCGCCAACATCTCTGACATATCCGTTTTTGTTAGTATTTGCAACCTTAGTCCTTGTTCTTTAGTATCTACAAGATCTATTTCGCTTTCAATATTTATTGATTCCTTCAATCTGGTTTGGATTTGATCCCCCTAATGACAGTCTACTTTGGTCTCCAGTGTTATTTTTCATCTCATGACTTCTCCTTGCTCCCTGTTGTCTTTCTGGGGTATGTGTCTCTGCACTTTTCTCATGGGGGGGGGGGGCAAATAGTTTTTATCAAACTTATTTGAGTTTTTTTTTTTTTGTCCCACCCCCTTTTGCAGATCTGCTCTTAATATTGTTAATTGTTTCTCTTTCCAGCTCCACTCCACAACAATATCCTCCAAATTACTCCATGCAGGTGATCTCTTCTCCCGCTGGGCCTATACATCACATCAAATTGTAAGTAAGATATTCTCTGTATCATCTTCTCAGTCCTTTCTCCTAGTTTCCCACTTGGGTGACCCCTCTCCTTTTCCTTCTTTTTTTTCCCTCCTTTTCTCCTTCCTTTATCATTGAACTTGGTGAAAAGGGGTAGACATTAACAGACAATCTAAGGTACAGACATTATATTTCATCATTGACAACAGTCACTCACGTATCCCTCTCAGAATGCAGGGCTTTATCCATTATCTTCTTCCCCCATCCAGGGTTCTGCAGTGTAGGTGGTCTCCTTGTTTAGAGGGGGGTCTTTTGCTGGTATGAAGGGGCACCCTCTATGGGAGCTGAGGTTCCACTCTTCTGAAACTTTATGCAGGTCGTCTTCCAGGAACACCTATCCTCCACATACAGGCATTCACCATCTGTCACCAGATGACTGCAAAGTTCCGGCAGACCCGAGAGATCCCCTCCATACAGAACGCTGCAGTGTCCTGTCACCTCTACAGTGAACGAGGAGCTGTTCCTGGGATTCCCCGCTGCTGTCATGTGGACGGTCCCAGTGTCCACCTCTCCACACTCTGGCTGTGGCTCCCACACAGCCTGGGGGGGATCAGAGCCTCCTGACTCCGCTGACTCCACTTGTAGGGCCCCAAGGTGTTAGGGATCCGGGTATGATTAGAAATGTGTGGACTGACACAGGGAAGTAGCAAGCTTAAGGAACACAGGCGTAGTCAGGGCTGGAGAGGTGGAATGGTCAGGCAGGCCGTTAGGTACTGTCAGGCACCGCCCGGCGGGATCTCTAGTACCCACAGAACGGGATTCCCCAGGGCACGGAGTCTAAGCCCCAGTCTGCCTTTTCACCAGAGCCCCTGATGGTGGGGGTGGACTTGGCGCAGGACTGAGACCAGGTCGCGGCCCCTGAGTGCACCCAACTGTGGTAGAGGGGTCTGCCGAGGGTATGTACCGTGGGAAAGCCTGACGTGAAGAGGCTGGCAGACCTGGTAACAGGGAAAGATCCGTGCGGGATGGATGGATCGTCTGGGTAGCGTCAGGTGTAGTCAGGCAGGCCAGGTCAGCAATGTGTGGGCAGCGAGGTACCGGAGGAGCAGGCAGAGAATAGTCAGGGTCACAAGCCGGGTTCAGTAACTCACGGGCAGCGCGATACAGAGGATCAGGCAGAAGGATGGTCAGGCAAGCCAGGGATCAAGCAGGAGAAGTCAGCAGAGGTCAGGATCAGGCAGGGTCGGCAACAAATCAGATAGTCAGCAGAACAGGAACACAGGATACCAGGTACAGGGGCTCATGGGAAACAATACACCAAGGCCCTGATCACAGGCCTGGTCCTACTTAAATACACCTCCTGCAATCAGCTTCAGCTGATGACTGACTGCAGGAGTAAGCTTCTGGTTGCTGAGAGCACCCGCTGGTCAGCCCTCGTACTGCAGCCCACACGGCAGATGAGTCCCACCACCAGTGCTGAGTCCATTCCTGACACAAGGAGAAGACAAGCCAGGCAGGGATTCACAAAGAGCCGCAGCTCTTATGGTAATACTACAGGTATATAGGGAGCTCCTCGATCTAGTGTCCTGCTGGCACCATGTTCTGGTTCCTCCCTTTGATTGAAAGAATTCTTGATTCTAGGATATCTATAAACAAATGACAATATCTGGTTCAATGGGAAGGATATTGACCAGAAGAAAATTCTCAGGAGATTTTTCATGCTCCCAGTTTGACAAAAGAGTTCCACCAGAGGTTTCCTCACAAACCTGGCCCTAAGACATCCAGGGGTCACATTGTAAAGAGAAGAGTACTGTCAGGGTCCAGGTCTGAACCTGGGACCTCTCTCCCAGTCTCTGGCTCTTCTTGCTGTGCCACCTAAGATATTCGACAACTCCCTATCTGATTCCTTGGACAATCTTGTCTTGTACTTTGTTTCTGGTGAACCTTGAACTCTTTGTTCCTCCTATGAACTTGCTGATTTAAGCCATGTCTCTGCACTTCCTGTTTGCAAGATTACTGAGCTCTTCTCCAGGCAATATCTTGCTCCTTTCACTCCTGTTGCCATCTATAGCTTCACTACCACTGATTACTGACCATTGGCTTGTTCCTTGACTACACTTCCACTTGATGTTAACCTGCAACCACTTGTTATTGACCTTTGGCTTGTTCCTCGATTACACTTCCACTTGATTCAAACTTTAAACCACTTGTTACTGACCTTTGACTTGTTTTCTGACTATGTTTCTGCTATATCTACTACTGGACCATGGTTTGCTCACTTCCTGGTAGGGCAAACCTGAGGACAGTTGGAAATACCTAAAATACCTCATATACGTTCTATAATTAAGTACATATAAATAAGGTTTTCAATAAGATTTGGAGTTGAATGATAACAGTTTTCTTTTTGGATTGAAACAATTATAGCAGTTATAGCTTGAATGTGACTTGTGAAAACAGCTAGACAGGAAAACCTGAGTGAATAAAAAAGATTATCCAAGCAACAAGAGCAGCTAATGACATTGGATAGTTTTATAGTAACAATAAATATGTGCAGGATAGTTTTTATAGTCACAATAAATGTGTGCAAGCTTGCCTTGCACATGTAGCAAAAATAAGTCTATACCGGGGATTTTATTTAAAATGTAATGTCATTGTATAGACCAGACTTCAATCATACCTCATCCCTCAAATATCATATTCAAATGTAATGTGTTTGTTTAAAATTATCTGTAAGCTATTTTCTATAGATTTGTATTGTTATTTAAAGTTTGACTGCCTAAAATTTAGGGTTTTTTTTTTTCCAAAAAAGATTTTTATTAGAAGAAAGCAGTCATAACAATACATGTACAGACAGTGAATCCAAGGTCGGACATATCACTGTATGGTGCTTCCCGTGTCGCAGACGGGTCAAAGCATAACAGGCAACACAAAACATAACGTTGTAAAACATTGTGTCAACATAATATTACAATCCAGGAAGTTTACAGCATATACGAAATGCGCACAGAGATATATTGTCTTTTGACCTTTGAGCAGTATTTTCTGTCATGGGAGTGTGGGTTTTTTTTTAATCCTAATTCAAAAAGACAGGAAGTCACAGCAATACAGGTGCTAATTTGTGATCATAGACACAAAACATGGAGTGAATGCTGAAATAACAATCATTAAAGCATAAGGAACTTCATTTTTTTTATGACCTCCTGTCAGTGAGTTTTTGTTTCCACTGAAATATTTTTTTGGCTTTTACTTTCAGACTGCATCATTTTTGTCCGTACTTTTTAATCTACATGGCCTAGTTTTCGTTGTCATTATATTTTAGCCAAATCAGTTAGAGCTTTTCAATATCTTTTCAACTTTCTTTTAAATGGCTTTCTGAATGAGCTTGAATAATAATGAGGCAATAAATGAATCTCATTCATATCTCCCTTTTTATAACAGATTTTAGAACCAGAGATAATGACAGTGGACAGAACTCTATTTTTATAAGGCAAACAACAAAAATTAATCAGGCTCATTGCATTAATTTCACCTCATTGGTTGATAATGTGGGATTCAGAAACCGTTTTGAAATTTTGATATGTAAACCCAGGGAGGAAAAAAAAAAAAACAAAACAAAAGAAAACGAAAAAAATAATTAAAAAACAAATAAAAAAAAAAAAAATATATATATATATATATACGTATATATATTCATTTTGTAAAGCACTGCACAAATATTTTTATATATATATATATATATATATATATATATATATATATTCATATATTCATTTTGTAAAGCACTGCGCAAACTGTTGATGCTATCTAAATCCTGTATAATAATATATACACTATATTGCCAAAAGTATTGGGGGACACCTGCCTTTACACAAACATGAACTTTATTTACATCCCAGTCTTAGTTCGTAGGGTGCAATATTGAGTTGGCCCCGCCCTTTGCGGCGATAACAGCTTCAACTCTTCTGGGAAGGCTGTCCACAAGGTTTAGGAGTGTGTCTATGGGAATGTTTGACCATTCTTCCAGAAGCGCATTTGTGAGGTCAGGCACTGATGTCGGACGAGAAGGCCTGGCTCACAGTCTCAGCTCTAATTCATCCCAAAGGTGTTCTATCTGTTTGAGGTCAGTCAGTTCCTCCACCCCAAAGTCGCTCATCCATGTCTTTATGGACCTTGCTTTGTTCACTGGTGCGCAGTCATGTTGGAAGCATGAAATTGTCCAAAATGTACTGGTATGCTTACGCCTTAAGAATTCCCTTCCCTGGAACTAAGAGGCCAAGCCCAACCCCTGAAAAATAACCCCCCACTAAAATCCCCCTCCACCAAACCTTACACTTGGCACAGTGCAGTCAGGAAAGTATTGTTCTCATGGCAACCATGAAACCCAGGTACATTCATTGGATTGCAAGACAGAGAAGTGTGATTCATCAATCCAGAGAACACATCTCCACTGCTCTAGAGTCCAGTGGTGGCATGCTTTACTGCACTGCATCCGACGCTTTGCATTGCACTTGGTGATGTAAGGCTTGGTTGCAGCTGCTCAGCCATGGAAACTCATTCCAGGAGGAGGTCTTTAGTTATTGACTCTGCAGGCAGTTGGCAACTTCTGTGCACTATGCACTTCAGCAAGTGCTGACTCCACTCTGTCATTTTAAGTGGCCTACCACTTCATGGCTGAGTTGCTGTTGTTCCCAGTTGCTTCCATTTTGTTATAACACCACTAACAGTTGACCATGGAATATTTAGTAGCAAGGAAATTTCATGGATGAGCTTATTGCACAGGTGGCAACCTATCACGGTACCACACTTGAATTCATTGAGTGACCCATTCTTTCACAAATGTTTTTAGAAGCAGTCTGCATGCCTAGGTGCTTGATTTTATACACCTGTGACCATGGAGATGATTGGAACACTTAAATCCAATGATTTAGAGGGGTGTCCAAATACTTTTGGCAATATAGTGTACAATTGCAAGAAAAAGTATGTGAACCCCTTGGGATTACATGGAGTTTTGCTTGAATTGGGCATAAAATGTGCTCTGAATGTCATCTAAGTCACAACAATAGAAGAACACAGTCTGCTGAACATAATACTACACAAACATTAGATGTTGCCATGGTTTAATTGCACATAACATGTAAACATTCACAGTGCAGGGAGGAAAAAGTAGGTGAACCTTTGGACTTAATAACTGGTTGACCCTCCTTTGGCAGCAATAACCTCAACCAAACGTTTCCTGTAGTTGCAGATCAGACCTGCACAACGATCTGGAGTAATTTTGGACCACTCTTCTTCACAAAACTCTTTCAGTGTAGCAATATTCTTGGGATGTCTGGTGTGAATCTCTCTCTTAAAGTCATGCCACAGCATTTCAATCGGGTTGAGGTCAGGACTCTGACTGGGCCACTCCAGAAGGCGTATTCTGTGCTGTTGCAGCCATTGTTTTGTTGAATTACTTGTATGCTTTGGGTCATTGCCCTGTTGCATCACCCATTCTCTGCGGAGCTTCAGTTGTCGGACAGATGGTTGTACGTTTTCCTGCAAAATGTCTTGATAAACTCTGGAATTCATTTTCCCATCAATGACAACAATCCGTCCAGGCCCTGAGGCAGCAAAGCAGCCCCAAACCATGATGCTCTCTCCGCCATGTTTTACAGTGGGGATGAGGTTTTGATGTTGGTGTGCTGTGCCTTTTTTTCTCCACACATAGTGTTGTGTGTTCTTCCCAAACAACTCAATCTTGGTTTCATCTGTCCACAGTATATTTTGCCAGTAGTGCTGTGGAACATCCATATTCTTTTTGGACAGCAATGGATTCCTCCGTGGTGTCCTCCCATGTACTCCATTCTTGTTTTAATATTTTCCTTATTGTAGATTTGTCAACAAAAATGTTAGCATGTGCCAGAGATTTCTGTAGGTCTTTAGCTGACACTCTGGGATTCTTCTTTACCTCATGCAGCATTCTGCGCTGTGCTCTTGCAGTCATTTTTACAGGATGACCATGCCTAGGGAGAGTAGCAACAGTGCTAAACTTTCTCCATTTGTAGACAGTCTGTCTTACCGTGGACACATGAACATCAAGGCTTTTGGAGATACTTTTGTAACCCTTTCCAGCTTCATGCAAGTCCACAATTCTTGATCGTAGGTCTTCTGAGAGCTCTTTTCTGCGAGGCATGGTTCACTTCAGACAGTGCTTCTTGAAACCAGTAAACCCAAAACAGGTGTGTGTTTTTAAGGGCAGGACAGCTGTCAGCAACACATCCAATATCATCACACTGATTGGAGCCAGGAGTGAGCCAACCTTGACTCCAATTAGCTCTGGGAGAAGTCATTAAGCTAGAGCCTC